TTGGCTTGTGCACATAAAGGAAATCAAGCAGATTTTAAAATAGTCCATTTTGAAATGATGAAAAGTTACATTACAGATCCTCAGCACGTTCACTTTTTGATGCTTTTTAATTTAGCTATTTCTCAAGGAGGCCCAGCAGCCTATGTAGAATTGGCTGCTAGGAGAGATGACACAGGCCTCTCCATAATACAGCTGATATCACCTCTTCATGTGTAACACATCTCTGGGGTATTTTACATCTGCAGGGTGTGTAGTGAGGTAGGTCGTGAAGGAAGGTTTCCAATACAAACAATTCTGAATTAAAGAAATTATGGGGTTTGCTGATAATTTTCCTGAAACCCCTGATAGGTCTTCTCTGGAAGCTCAACCCTTATTTTTTCTATGTATATTCACAAGATCATCCACTAGTGATATGTCAGGAACTTCACACAGTTTATTTGGTTACTTAGAATTGTTTCAAAAAATTGCATCAAACATTGTTATAAGAAAGACAGTTTTTGGAAAGTTGTCTCTTTTTTCCTTAAATACCTTTTCCAATTGTTAAACAGTTTCAAAGGGAAGTTAATCAATAGCCCTAGCTTCTGGCTTCTCAGTTCTTTTGATCTTCATGCCACAATGTTTTACCATTCAAGTTAAGACAGAGTAATGAACCAATGAATAAGAAGTGCTTGCTTCTTTGATAATAGACTATTTAGTTTCAGTCACTTACTTTTTTCGAAAGGAACTAGGAATCTCTTTTCTGCAGTCGCTTTTCGGGGCCTACATTTTATGCTTATTTTATTGAATAATTTATCAGCTCCCTTAATATTTAATGGGGATCATTTCTTTGGTGTAATTCATTGGCTTCCATTCCAGCCCCAGAATTGTCTGAATCTAGAGAGTGTTGTCGTCTCCTGTCCCCCCATTCCTTGTGAAATGTACTTGGTTCGTGACACTTGGCTGGAACTTCTTGCCCCTCCCCCCCACTTTTTAATTTTATCTTCAGATACAGATTAGAGAAATTTTCTTTTAAAACTTTGTGGGAATCTGGAGTCTAAAAGGTATTGATGGCGGAGACTGTATTTTGTTAATATTCACATAAAATGGCCATTGCTCTACCACTGACTAGTTAGGTTTCCTTCACATATCAAGCAAGTTACATAGCAATTAAAAGTATTTAATAAAAATTTTTCTTTTCTTTTTTTTCCCTTTTAACGTTACAGAATTCCACGTAAGTTGTAAAATGAAATAGTCAACGTCGGAAGGCGGGTTGTAAGGGCACTTTTCTGACTGGCTGCTGGCAGCACTCCTGGCCATTCTTCCCACGGGCCATATGACAGGATCTAGATTTAGAACCCCGTTTAAAGTGCATCTTTATCACCTCCAAAACCTCATCACCCTCTCAGCCCAAGGGGACTCATAACTCGGGTCTGAGTGTGACTGGAGTCCATGAATTGGTGTTTGTTCCTTTGTAACTTACAAATATTTGCATATGAAGGCTTTTTTAAAAATTGGAAAGTTACACTTTTTCATTAAAGAATGTTTGAAAAGTTTAGAAAAGCAGGAGAGCTATTATTACCCATTCAAACCCAGCCACTATTCATATTTGGTAGACTTACATAGTTGTTCCTGCTTTATCTACCACTTTATGTTATGTTTCAGGTTTTTTCCAAGTTATTACATAGTTTTCAGGAACATAATTTTTTAAGGGTCACGTAATGTCCTACTGGGAGGCTTAAATATTTTCCAGTCATCTTCTTCCTCCATAATAAATGATACCCTGATGAAAGTCTTTGTGCAAAAACTTCACCTTTCTAGTTCATGTAGTTCCTTAGGGTACTTTTTAAAATATATATATATATATATATATATATTTACATCGTTTTCTATTTTTTGTACCTTAGGGTACATTTTTAAAAGTGATGATGCCGGAATAAAGATCTTGATTTTTTTTTTTTAAGTCTTCTGGGGGGTTCTTTCCTAGGTAAATGCTTTTTCTTTTTAGGTCAGTGTGAAATGTTTGTATTTGGAGAAGAGGGAAGGAAATCTCTGTTTGCTGACTCATGTTTTTATTTTGCACTTGAAACTGATAAGGCCACTTAGCTTTTGACATAAACTAAAGCAGGAAGTACAAAAAGGGGCAGGGGAAAAGCAGTGGTCTTGTGAGGCCATTGCGGCACGGACTCAGTGGAGTTCCTGGTGGGAGCTGTGTTACTCGTTTCAATGTCTGAAAAATTGCTTAGCTCCGGGAGGCAGAAACTAGTGAGTAGCCTGCATTTTGCTTCCTCTATGAACATTTACTTCCAAGTTCATAATCTTGTCACCCTAGCTTGAGGAACCCTTCCCCACCCACTGGCCCAGCAGTGTTTGAAGGCAGTAGTTTTGCCTGTAGGGAGGATTTTGTGCCTGTAGGGAGAAGTCTTCCAATATTGAGGCCATAATACCTTAGCTGCGTTTCTAAAACATCGACCTAATCAGGATGGAGCACCATCTGCCCCTTACCAGCCTTGGGTGGCCTCCAGCCACCTGGAATCCTAGCACCTCACCAGGTTTCCGGGAGAACTAGCAGTTTGGAAAAATGGTTTAAAATGGCAGCAGGAGCCAGGCAACGTGGGTTCAAACCCCAGCCCTGCCACGTACAACCACTTACATAACTTTGGACCAGTTATTTCACTTTCCTGCATTTCACTTTTCTTACTTATAAAATGAAGGAAATGACAGTCTTTACTTCAGAAGGTTTTCTTTTTCTTTTTTTTTCTTGGTCACCAAGTTTTTTTTTATGCACCTGTTGAAAAGGGTGTCATGTCATCACTGCTCCCCTCTTACAGTGTGATCCACACTAAATGTCCCCCTTTTTTCCCCCCTGGTAGCGACATCATGTTTATTTTTTTTAATGTATTTTATTTTATATATTTTTTACATCATTTTTCATTTTTGCACAATGTATGCATTTTCATCTTGGTTATTGTCCCCATACAATTCCCACCCCCTCTTATTTTTTTTTTTTTTTTTTTTATATATAGAGGCATGTTTTCTTTCTTTCTTTCTTTCTTTTTGTTTATACATGCACTGGGTACAGTCAGAAGCGCAGGAGGGTGAGAGAATTCACCAGAGCCAGAGCGGAGAGCAGAGCAGGCAGAAGGACCAAAGTACACTGCTGAGGGGAGCAACGGGCGGCAGGAGAGGTCTGCGCGCCATGTGGGACCCTCCTCCGGTGGCCGGGGAGCAGCCGGGGATCGAACCGGCGCCGCAGAGGCCGCGGGCAGCTTCGCAACCCAGCGCTCAACTGCTGCGCCACCGGGGAGGCCCACCACCCCCTCTTATTTTGACCGTATTCCCTCCCTTTCTTGAAACCTGTAATGCATCTTGTCAAATGTGTGTGGGATTAATTGGTGGAAGTCAAAGACCCTTCAGAATCAGCAACAATATGACGCATCAAAGCTTTCGGGTTTCCTTGTATTTATTGTTTGGGGATTTGCAGGCCTTCTTGAATTTGTGGCCAGATGTCTCTGGTCCTTTTTGGACGGTCCCTGGCCAGTATCTGTAGCCACAGCCTCTGTCCTTGCCTTTCTTTCCTCCTCCATCCTCTCACCCAGTCTAGTGTTCAGATGCCAGCAGTAGGCCGCGTTTCAGGGTGAAGCCAGCCCAGTCATTTCCCCTGCACCAGGGCATCCCTTCAGGGTTGTCACTGGAAGCCTGGCCTGTGCACCTTTGCAGCAGGCCCCCAGCTCATTTCTTGTCTCCTCAGCTCCGCTTCCTTCTCCGCCCCAGTCTCTGCTTGGCTTCTCTGCTGTGAGCTTGCTGGGCGCCCTCAGGCTGTTCCCTTCTCTCCACAGCTTGGCCCTGAGTCCCTTGGTGGCTCCTTGATACCTTTAAAAACCTGGTCTTTCCCCCACTCTGCCTTGTGCGTTTGTATGTTATTTGTCTCTTGTAGTTACTTTGGGGAAGAGGCCGGTCCCATCCTTGTTAGGCATTTGTTGTCCACTTCGTCTTTCCCATCCTTTGCATTTTCATCTGGCGAAGAGTAACCGAAGGGTTAAAAGGAGACAGCTCGACTCAGGAACCTGGTGCCTTGTGTGTTCCTGTGCTTCCTTCCTTTCCTGTCAGTGAAAAACAAACTTGAAAAAGTAGGAAATAAAATTTCTACCTGCTTGCCCGGCGGCTCATGGGCACAGGCTTCCTTAATAAATCCCAAAAATGTCGCTGCATTTGTATCGTAGAAATGCAGCTACCTGTTCTTCCAGCAGGAGAAATACTTGAGCAGCAAACCCCAAGCAGATGTTAAGACTATTGTATTTTTATTATTTCCTGTTGCTTTCAGTTTTTGTTGGTGGGGATTTGTTTTGAAACATATTTTTAGAGCCTGTCAATGGCGCTAGCTAGAAAGCCTCACAGCATCTGTTGAGAACTTGACCGTTTTTGTCTGCTGTGTCCACCTCAGAACCTGTGTGGACGGGGACACACGACTTTGTAAACTGTGTCCCTGTTTAGTCATTGTGTGATGGCGCTGTGTCCCGCGGCTCGGAAGGGTTGTTGGAAGGATGAAGTGCTGTGTCTACTTGAGTGGCTTCAGACAGGAGCAATGTGTTCCTCCCATTTCTGGAGCCGGGCGCCCAGGATCAGGGTCCCAGCCAGCTTGGTTCCCGGTGAGGGTCTCTTCCAGATGTGCCCATGACGGCTGCCTGCCCCCCAGGTCCTCACCTGGCCTTCCCTTAGCGTCTGAGCTGGGGGGCAGGCCCGGGGGACAGGCCCGGGGGACAGTGTGCCCACACTCTCCCTGTTCTTACAAAGCCACCAGTCCTGTCCTGCCCTGTCCCACCCTCCTCATTTAAGCTGACCTCATGGAAGCTGAATTACTCTGTTAGTCACATCAGAGGTCAGGGCTCTGGCATGGGTTTTAGGAGCGAAACCATTTTATCCGTGGCCTCCATCAAAGCCCCTGACCCATCACCATTGCTTAAGAAATTGTGACTTTGTGGCGGAGGTGATTGTAAACATTTTTTCCCTTCCCTCTTCTGTAGGTGCTGACGTGGGGGTCCTGCCGCGAAGCGCTCGGAATGGTCGTTTCTGCTTTCCAGGACCTCAGAACGGAGCCACTCAGGAGACGCCTATGCCCGTGAAGTGAAGGCCCTGCCGTCCTCGCATCCGGAGACGCCGCTGCCTCACCCCGCGGGAGGGCAGGACCAGCGCGGCCACGATGAACGTGACCAGTTTATTTTCCTTCACCAGCCCGGCTGTGAAGAGGCTGCTCGGGTGGAAGCAGGGCGACGAGGAGGAGAAGTGGGCCGAGAAGGCCGTGGACGCCCTGGTGAAGAAGCTGAAGAAGAAGAAGGGCGCCATGGAGGAGCTGGAGAAGGCGCTGAGCTGCCCCGGGCAGCCCAGCAACTGCGTCACCATCCCCCGATCGCTGGACGGCCGGCTGCAGGTGTCCCACCGCAAGGGGCTGCCCCACGTCATCTACTGCCGCGTGTGGCGCTGGCCCGACCTGCAGAGCCACCACGAACTGAAGCCCCTGGAGTGCTGCGAGTTCCCCTTCGGCTCCAAGCAGAAGGAGGTGTGCATCAACCCCTACCACTACAAGCGGGTGGAGAGCCCCGGTAAGTGAGCCCCGGTGGGCGCCGTCCTGGTGGCGGGCGTGGCTGTGACCCAGGTCCCCGAGGTGCGGGCCAGCCCCCCAAGTCACTCCCAGCATTGGGAACCAACGTGCCCTTGATCAAAGAGCATGTGACGTTTGTATTAAAAAAGAAGCCCCGGCACCAAAAAATCACAGTCTTCCCCGCATTTTCAGTTTGTCATTTTGGAATATTAGGGGAACTAGTCATCTCCATGCGCCCTGGAATGTTGTGCGTGTTCTGACAGCCTCACCGCTGCAGGTCCCTTGATTTCTTAGGAGCAGGACTCGGCCAGTGGAGAGTGCAGTGCTAATTAATACTGCTAGCTCTTGATCTATCTGTTTTCTCTCTGAATTTATTTTTATGTGGCACATTCTCTATGCACTTCTCTAGACCGATTTAGCTCTGAGTTATTACAAGGAAATAAAGCCAGGAAGGGAAGGCACCTGGGGTGGAGGCCTGCATACCGGAGGGGAAACCATCGTGAGTGCCGTGGCCAGGGGCCACTTTATCCAGAAGAACAGCTCCTCTTCCCGCCTCCACTGGAGTTTTGCTGTGACATATTCCCCATGGATGATATGGAGGAATTATGTCCTGCTGTGGGATCATTTGATATGATTCCCTTGGAAAGTATGCCAGTGTCTGCATGTGTGATCTCTGGGGGAGTAGAGTAAAATCTGTCTTTGAAAGTCTGAATGGTTTGGCGCTCAAATTAGACATTCTGGACAGTTGCATCCACTGGAAAATGATGAGGCAATAATCTTCAGTACTGAAATCTCACTGTCAGACTAGAACCGGTTTTGCTGGAGGGCTGGTTATTAATAGCCGGTGGGTTACTGAAGAGCCCCACACCTGGCTGTGCGTGGGAACCACGTGGCTCCCCTCCCAGAAGTTCAGATTCTGCCATGGCCTGGTGATCCCCTGATCCCGCTTGGTGGACAAGCGTTCAAGCTGGTGCCACCACAGGGTCGGTGCTTGGGGGCTAATGAGCTCCATCATGTCACAGCACGGTTCTCAAAAGGTGGTGTGGGCTTCCTGTGGAATATTGAAGGCACACAACGGTTTCAACAACTAGGAGATCATAGAATGAACGTCTTTGTATCTGCTACTCAGTTTACGAAATGAAAGCTCACACATAAAACTGCAAGTCCAGTAGAAGCTCCTTTGCCTTCAGTGACCTCTGTTCTGACTTTGGAGATTATCATTTTCTTTTGTGCTTTTATGCTCTTGTGACGTAGTCCATGACAGTATGTAATGTTGTTTTGATATTTAAGAGAGTGAGACAATGGGAGAGTATCCTTCTATAACTTATGTTCAGTCAACATTCTATTTTTGTGAATTCTAAATGATACGCTTTAGGACGACTGTTCTGTTTGTGAATAATCCCTGGAGATTTTATTGTCACTCCACTGATTTTATCTGGGGAAGGGTTGACAGTGTGATGCTCTGGGGTGTACTGCTTTTCTAAGTTTAGTTAGGTCTTTTTCTTTAAGTTTCCTCCGTAAGGTTCTTGCACATTTTTTCTTAGATTAATTTCTGGAGAACTGTCATGTTTTTATTGTATCCTATTAAATGTCACATTTTGTGACCCTGGCTGGGACTGCCTTTGCTTTTTTCCCCACAACTGTGCCAAATTCTCCTCATTCAACCTAGACACATTCTTTTTTTTTTTTAATAAATTTTATTTTTATATTCCCCATACAATTACAACCCCCTTATTTTGACCCCAAGCCCTCCTTTCCCCGCCCCCCTCCCCCCATAGACTGTCTCTGGTTCATAGTTGTTTATTGATTTTGATTTTCACTTTCTTATAGTTATTCATTTTCCTGGTCCCTTATCTAAGTTTTCTAGATTCCTGCTATGAGTGAGACCATCCGGTATTTTTCTTTTTCTTTCTGGCTCATTTCGCTGAGCATGATCCCTTCCAGCGCCATCCATGTTGCTGCAAATGGCATGTGTTTATCTTTTTTGATTGCTGAGTAATATTCCATGGTGTATATGTACCACATCTTCTTGATCCAGTCATCTATTTTTGGGCATTTGGTCAACCTAGACATTCTTTACTGTTTGGAATACCTGCTATGATGTAAAAACAACTTAAAACCCAACACAGAGGGCCTCCTTGGTGGCGCAGCGGTTGAGCGCTGGGTTGCGAAGCTGCCTGCGGCCTCTGCGGCACCGGTTCGATCCTCGGCTGCTCCCCGGCCACCGGAGGAGGGTCCCACATGGCGTGCAGACCTCTCCTGCCGCCCGCTGCTCCCCTCAGCTGTGTACTTCGGTCCTTCTGCCTGCTCTGCTCCCTGCTCTGGCTCTGGTGAATTCTCTCACCCTCCCGCGCTTCTGACTGTACCCAGTGCTTGTATAAACAAAACAGACAAACAAACAAACAAATAAATAAATAAAACATGCCTCTACCAAAAAAAAAAAAAAAAAAAAAAAAAAACCCAATACAGAGATGCCCATTTGTCTTTTGACCATAACTTGAGATGGAGCTCAGAGTTTTGGAGAAATGTAGTGTGCAAGTCATACATACTAGCAAGATTATTTCGATGCATGATTTTTTGATCTCCATGTAACTTCAATGCATGGAAGATTCTAGTCCTACTTTGCAAATGATGAAATTGAGGCCCCCATACACTAAGAGACCTGTTTGTCCACAGCTGGGATTCACTGTGCAGAAAACACGGTGGATATATTTTCTCCATCCTTCTGCCCCCCACTCTACTCCAGCCTTCCAGTCTTCCACCTTGTGCCGCGCTAATTGACTCCTGGCTGGTCCCCTCTTCCCACTTCAGTCCATGATCCACAGAGCATGTTAGGATCCCCCCCTTCCCTCTTACTAAGAGCCTGGCACTCTCAGGTCCTTGCCTGCCCTTCCACCTTTGTTTCACACTCTTCCAGGTTCTGTGTGCTTCAGTCCCGTGGAAGCATGCCACGCGCTTTCCCTCGCTCTCATTCTCCCTTGGCCTGGCCACTCTGATTTACTAACCTGCAGGCAGAATGTGTGCCTCATGGTGAATTGGTGAAGAATGGTGAAGGGGGCCTTCCTTTTGCTAGAAGGTCCTACCTTGACTGTTACAAAAGATGCATCTTTGGAAAAGTACAAAACATTAAGGTTTTTTTTTTATTAGTATTATCATTATTCGGCAAATGTATGGAAAGTTATGGGAGTGAAAACATTCGTGCGCCCTCTGAAGACTCCCCTGGCTGGTGATATAACAGGTGGCTGTTTGCTTGGCCTATCAGTAGCCTTCAGAGCCCAGGCTGCTATTAGTGGTTGAATTAAATGCAGGTTTTCTTTTTCTTTGCCACAGTAAATGCTGACGGTGGCCAGTCGTCTCTGTGGTGTGGAGAAGACCATCCGGTCGCAATCTGCTACTATTGAAATGCCTTTGCAGAGGCTTCCTGCCTTTTGGTCTTATCTTTTTTTTCTTAATGTGTTTTTCACATGGTTCTTGAAAATTATCTCCTGTGCTTTGAATGTAATCAACTTGAAAGGCTGTGCTAAACCTGAACTTGAGCTTCTGAGATTTTGATGTCTTTAACGTGACATCTGAGCCTCCTCAGGTGCCTCAGTGCTCGGCACCTTGACTCCCAGATGGTTCAGATTGAGACATACCTCAAGTCCTCTTCACCTTGGCAAATGAGAGTTTTCACTCTCGGGCTGCCACCGTCTTCATGTAATCGTGGCCTGGTGAGCTTCCCTTGAACAGGAGTCTTGAAATTATAGGGGCAGGGACGTGAAAAGGTGTTTGCAGGAGCTAAGGGAGTGGGGCTGGAGGGCAGTGGGTGTAGCTGTCACTCACAGTCCTGGGGTCCTGGGGTCCAGTGTCTGTTCTGACTGGTACCTGTTAGTTTTGCGACACGTTGCCATGGGCGGAAACTGGGTGAAGGGTAGGCGGGGTTTGTCTGCCTGTTTCTTACAGCTGCACGGGGCTCGATAGTGCTTTCCATTTAAAAATAGGGAGCAGGGCCTCCCCGGTGGCGCAGCGGTTAAGCGCTGGGTTGCGAAGCTGCCCGCGGCCTCTGCAGCGCCGGTTCGATCCCCGGCTGCTCCCCGGCCACCGGAGGAGGGTCCCGCATGGCGCGCAGACCTCTCCTGCGGCCCGCTGCTCCCCTCAGCAGTGTACCTCGGTCCCTCTGCCTGCTCTGCTCCCCGCTCTGGCTCTGGTGAATTCTCTCACCTCCCCGCTTCTGACTGTACCCAGTGCTTGTATAAAAAAAAAAGAAAGAAAGAAGAGAGAGAAGAGAGAGAGAGAGAGAGAGAGAGAGAGAGAGAAAGAAAACATGCCTCTATATAAAAAAAAAAATAAATAAATAAATAAAATAATAAAAATAGGGAGCATGAGAAACAGCCGGGTCAGCTCACGACTCAGTCACACCAGCCTTTCCGTGTGCTGCTCCGGTGGGTCCGTTTTACTCTGTCACCCAGAATTTTAAAAAGACACACTCAGAAGTTGAGATTTGATAAAATATTTTTTGAAACACCAAAACCAAAATCGTTTTGTAAACAGTGTTTTGCTTCATCCTGCGAATGTGTTTGTACTTGAACCAATGACCACAAAAACTTCTGCTGAAAGAGACCTTTCAGCCTCATGTTAGTCTATACCCTGGAGGATGGGGGCAGGAGAAGTGTTGACTTTCCCCTCCAGTTGAGCTGAGAGGTGATTTGGAGGAGTCATAACTGAAGTGTGAGTCAGATAGCAAGATACGATCAGGACAAGTGTTTTGAAGCTTTGGGATTAATTAGCAATATTGACTATAGAAATGAAACATGATCTGTGTGTTGGAGTTCTCTGGAGAAACAGAACCAGTAGGATAGAGATCTACACTTAGACTCACTGTAGGAACTAGCTCATGTGGAGGCTCAGAAGTCCCTCCATCTGCTCTTGCAAGCTGGGGGTCCCAGAAAGCTGGTGGTGGCACCCCGACTGAGTCCAGAGGCCCAGGAGCACCCGTGCATCCAAGGAGAAGATGAAACCCTC